CTTCGTATAATGTATGCTATACGAAGTTATTACGATTTTACTGAAAATGTATAATTTTCTTTCTCTTTATTAAAAGACCGAACAAAAGTTATTTAATAAAAGACAGAAATTAATCATCATAATCGAGCTTATAAATTAATAATATTATTATAATGCCATTAAAGTATCTTGTTTCCTGTGAAATTTGTGCGAAACAGTGATAATATGAACAAAATAAAAATATATGTGCGAAAAGATGTGCTCTTGTTGGTATGCAATCAAATCTAATTATTTAAAACATGTTAATAAAAGGAAGGAAAATAAGTTTTTATTAACGTAATTTGTTATAAAATTTCTATAAAGCAAACAAAAATGTTTTTAACTTTAGTATGATAAAAGCGAAGACAGTATTGTTATATTTAAAATATATATTCTATAAATATATATTACATATATAAAATTTGCCGCAGTTTCTGTATACAGTTCTTTGCAATTTGGGATTTATTAACGTGGGACTCACTTTGGGATATTCTTTTATAGCGCTTCCATTATTAACGAGTAATATATTATCAATAACTTTAGACACAATGGAGAAATCATTATTTGGTAATTTGCTTCTTTAATCAAAAATATTAGTAATGTTAATTACCAAATATATATTATTCAATAACATCAATATCTGTTATCATTTATTTATATGATATTCATTATAATTTTTTAATATAATTTAATTGTAAGAACAATAAATTGAAGTCATGGATATAATTTAGAAAAATGAATAATATATTTTTATACAATATTTTTTGTCGATTATATTTATTTACAAATAATAAAAAACTTTTTTAGTTTCTATACCATTCGTCGTTATAATTATTGTTTGTTGTGTCTTCTTACATTGAAATATGGTAGATATTATACTATGATAATCATTGGTATAATTTTTTCTTTGAGCTGGAGTTTGATTGCAAGTAATTATAATGTGATACAGCTTCTCATTGGTAGAGCGGTAACAGGTGAGAGATACGATGAATCAAGATTAGATCCTTGATATTCAGTTGTTTTCCTTATTTATTAAAATGTATTTAATAAAAAATTATTTTTGTTAAACAAAAAGTATAAAAATTTTCAAAACGAAAATTGAGATGCAACATTGAGTACTTCGATATATTTTAAATATTTAACTATCATGATCGAGGAAAAAAAATTATGTGAATTATACCTCGATGCAAAATTATATTCTAAGAATTCTTGTCAAGAAAAATATTCTTTAAATATTCTCAGCCATGATGAAGTAATTATATACTATGTACAATAACAAATAAAATAATAGTGAAACATTTTTCATACATTACTATGCTTGGAAAATTCTTTGTTAATTAATTAAATTTTTAAAATGTTAACACGTTTTATCGTGACTTTATACATGCAAATCATCATAGATATGGAAAAAAAATTAAAACAAATAAAAACGAAAATAAAGTCTTTTCTAATAGATTAATTTGTTTAACTGCAAGACAAAGTTTAACTGCAAAGTCACTAATTAGAAAGATTTTGAAAATTTTCAGGCATTGCTATGGATCTTAACACAAGTTGCATTCAAGTTTATCTAGAAGAAATCTCTATATTTTCATGGAAGAAATCATTACCACACACGTTGCGTCAAACAGCGAAATTCTAGTTGTTTATCTTCTAGGATATATTATATAGGTAAATATTTACCATAAAATATTTGAAACAATTACTATAATTAATGTGTACTAATTTATATATAAATTTTATTTAAAAATTTAATATTGTTTTAGGACGATTGGAGGTTGGTAGCGGCGATTTGCATTATACCAGTCAGTATTATCTGTGTTAGGCGTAATCCTTTTTATCTATGAAAGTCCCGTATGGTTACTTTCAAAAAATCAAAAGGAGGCAGTCAGAATTGCTTTACTTCGAATTCATGGCTTACGTCAGGAAACGATAGAGTTCCGAGAAGAATTTAACAGAATGGTGAATTATATTGAATTGACAAGCCAGCTTAAAGAATCTCAAACCTGCTCCTCGGCGGAAGAGGCCAAAAAGAAATCGTCTTTTTACCTCGAATTTATGGAACGAATTGAAAAATATTCAGGAAGACAATGCTGTTGCCAGAAGTGTGGAAGCCGTTTGTGATATTAATACGCTACTTCTTTTTTCAACAGTTTAGTAGACTATATGTGATTGTAGCTTATGCCGTTGATACGATCGTTATGGTTAACATCATAGTGGATCCCTTCCTGATCACCGTCGTAATAGGAATTATTATTCTAACGGTAGGCACTATAATTACCGCATGCTGTAGCAAGAGGTAATTATTTCTGTTTATTTAACACGATCTGCGATTATCATATATGTGATGTAAAGTATAATATAATTGCATGATTTACCCACTCATAAGTCCAAAGGCAATATTAACTGCAGTAAGACTCATTAATGATAAATTGATAATCGCACAATTATGAATTTAATTAAATGACTATCGTGCTCTGATATCTTTTATAGAATCTTTACAATTAATTATCATAATTAAAGCACTATGATCATCGGATATTGAATATGATACATATCGTTCAAACTGGCAATGTTTCAAGAAGATCATTAATAAAATTTGAAATTTTATCAGGTTTAATCGTCGAACCATGTCGATTGTGTTCTATGCCGGTATGTCAATCTTTTCGTGCGCTTTAGGAGTATATCTGCAATTTTTCCAGAACATCAACGTGGAAATTGTACCTCTAATTTGCATCCTTTTCTTTGTGTAAGATAATAACATTTTTCATGAATATTTGTCAAAAAATTTTCATCAAAATTCTTTTAAGAAAATAATCATGATAATAACTTCGTAAGATCT